TTACTGACATAAATGAACATTTGCACGATATTCTAATTTTTCGAGTTTCACCTGTATTTCAAGCAGAACTTGTTAAAGGAGAGCTGAACTGAAGGGAAAGAAATTACCTACCCTACAGTCAAGAGGTGGCAAGAAACTTCCGGTGTAAGGAAGAACATTCAAGGCCAGGAATGGACAGAAAGTAAAACAAGTTATGGGGTAGATGTCAGAGTAATTTGAAATGGATCATCAAAATTTCTGACTCCTGGAAGTTTGACAATAAAAATGATTCCACAGAAGTCTGTGAAAAAGACTGCAGAACATTTTTTGGACTGGGAACGCAACAGCTCACTAGGAGACAAGACATTGAAACCTTCCAGATTCTTCCAGTCAGTTGGAGCAATAAACTAGTCAATCTCATACATCTTGAGACAGATTTAAGGCATATGATATTCCAGGGAGATTATTCCCAGCCAAGGGTAAATAGAATCATAACTGAAAAGAGATGTCTTGTAAGCTATGAAACTATATAATTTGATATGAACTATGACTCAGTGGTTCAGGATCAGCCCATCCAAAGTCTATACCATCTGATTGGATTTATATTTAAATCGGAATTGCACATATGACAAAGGTTGTGCTCCTAAATAATAACTCTTATAATTCCAGAAGAGGAGGTTCATAGGTGAAGGAGTCATGATGAAAAGTGGATTTGCTTTTCTGTGCCATTTAAACCTCTTTGAGGGTAAACCTAATCTCCTCCAGTGTAGGCAACAATGAGTAGCAAGGTATTTCCAGAAATCCCGAAAAGAAAAACCAGCTACCTTAAGAAAGGTCTCAGATGAAGGCTACCATTACCTGGGCTGCAAAAATCCAGTCAACCACTAGATTGGAGCTAAAAAGATACTTTGCTTCCATCTAGTGGTTCCTCAGCTTTCTGTGGCCCAGATATAGCAGCCCTACACCAGACCTACTCCGTTCAGATGAAAGAGCTCCCCTTCTGTGCCACCATCTAATCCTAGGATTAGATTAATTAAGCTAAATTAATGCCCAAGCAAAACAGTGTTTGAGAAACAGAACTAACTAGAATAAGTCCTTCTAAGGAGTAGAAATACTTTAAGGCAATCTCTTTCTAGAGCTGAAATATGACTTTCTTTGGATGACCTTGTCTAACAAACCACCTGTTTTCTTCCCAGATATTCTGTGGCCTGGATTGTGTTTAGGACTTGATTTCTTTGACAAGGTGCTATTTGTTCTAAGTAGATAGCCAGGTCTGGGTGTTACTATATAAGGTGCTTTAAGGTTCAGAGTACACAGGGGGTGGGGAGTAACAACTAAGTGAAATAAAAACACCCTTGTTAGTCATGTTACTAATGCAGGATTACATCATGCCTTTGTGCTATGGGAAGCAGCCAGGTGCTAAAATTCAGATTTAAGAAAACTGTACCGTGGTGGTATAGAGCATCCAAATCATAATATAGAATTATTTTAATGGGCATTTAATATACAAATTAATGATCTGTATCATCAGATCACAACAGCACTAATAGGGAATCACTGGGCAGAGGAGAGGGAAGGAGTTGAAGGCTCAGAGGTGAACCACCCTCGCCAGACCCACTCTCCATCCTCAGGTTAGAGTGGCTAACATGTTCATGGTTCAGAACTGCATTGCCACCCTGGACAAGGAGGCAGATCAAAGAGAGTAGCTGAGGAATGCTTTTGCCTGGCCCAGGTACCCAGTCAGGCTGAAGCTGTGAATACAGCAAAAGCACAGCCACAACCACAACTCATTTGTGGTTCTGGGTTCAACTGCTCTATGACAGAGCAGCGGATGGGCAGGTGGCAGGCCAAAGAAGGAAGCATCGTTCTGTGGGTGAGGGCCATGTGCGAGCCTTACTTCATCCATCCATCCCTGCAGCTTCCTCTTGGCTTTCAGCAGGCTGGCAGGCAGCCCAAGACAAGCAGCTGAAGTCAATGAATACATTCTCACCAGTTAAGCACAGCCCCCATCCTACAGGAATATGGTCATTCATTTGTTTATTTTTCATTTATTAAAATAGCAACAATATCAGGTGCAAATGTTAATCAGCAGAATCAATACATACAACTCATATTGGATTGTACTACTCCTTACTGCAGGTGATAGAGTGAGAAAGTTTATATGCCACTGCATTGTACAAAGACAGCCAGCACATCTGAGACCTAGCAAGATTCAGGCTTAGTGGTCTGGTATAACAGGCTTTGATGCGCTCTCCCCGCATGGGGAAACAGGAGCTGTATGAATCCACAGCCCCACTGTGTTGATCTATGGATTAATTTGGCTCTTCTTAAGTTGGAATACCATAAAGAATGCATTGTTTATCACGATACAGCTGTCTGGTTCTCTAGGCCAGTTTAGATGGACATCATCATCATGTATAAGAACATATATATGCATCCATTCCTAGATCAGAAGGACCTACTCACGGTCACTCATGCCCTGGTCACCTTCTGGTTAGATTACTGCAATGTGCTCTACATGGGGCTGCCCTTGAAGAGTATCTGGAAACTTCGGCTGGTGCGAAATGCAGCAGTGTGAACAGTTATGTGTGTTTCTAGTAGAGCACACGTTACACCTCTGCTTTGTGAGCTGCATTGGTTACCAGTTTGTTCCCGGGTCCAATTCAAGGTGCTGGTGTTGACCTTTAAAGCCCTTCATGGCATGGGGCCAGGCAATCTGAGGGACCGCCTCTCTCCAATTTCATATGCCAGTCCTACCAGATCCAGCACAGAGGGCATGTCACGGGTTCCGTCACCTAGGGAGCTACATCTGGCAGGCTCCAGGCAGCAGGCCTTTTCTGCTGTGCCACATGCACTGTGGAATCTCCTCCCCCCTGAGGTGAGGTTGGCATCATCATTGTTGAGCTTCCAGAGGTCCCTTAAGCCAGCAGGCCTGGGGACCCCAGGGGATGGGGGAATTAGTGAGGTGGCTCCCTTATTTTTGGCTTCCTTTTATTCTCTGTTTTATTTCGCTTTTTATATTTTTAATGTATTTTACTGTTTTTAGCTTTGTTGTATGCTGCCCAGAATTGCCTGTGGTGAGATGGGCAGCTATATAAATTGATTTAATAATAAATAAATAAATAAATTTAGCATGGAGCAGCATAAAACTTTTCCTCTCCTAATGGCTTTTAGATCATTTCCATGCAGGATCTTTGTATCAGTTTCAGAACCTGTCTGATCTCATAATGTCCATTTGGGGATGGGTCAATTATTTTTGGCCCAGCAGCAATCTCTGTAAAATTACAACAGAGATGGGGGGAGGGTCTGTTTGCGTTGCATCACTGCTGCTCTGCAAAACTTGTCATCAAGTATTTTCTCATTGTCACATCTCTCCCAGCTCTTATGTCATATGGTCTTTTCATTGCAATAGTGGAATGATGGCTTGGCGGCTTAGCAAGTGCTCAAATTATTTTGTGTATTACCATGAAAATAGGCGTGACCTAAACTAAAACATAGAAAGAGGCATAGCAATGTGTTATCTTTGCCTTTTGTGTAGAGGTGTCCTGTTTCAGGCTGAACATGCACATGCCAGCTTGATTTGCAAATAGTTTACTGGAGAGTAGTGCAAAAGGCAGGCATCAATAGCTGAGACTGATGCTTCCCTGGGAGAAGGGATCCACATTCAGTAAGTGTATTCCTTCCTCTTTTTCAATTTATAATGTTAAGGTGCAAGTCTATATTGCCATCCTACTTAAGATTGTTTTGGAAAACAAGAGACTTTCCACATGATCAAAAGCTGCAATTCTGCACACCAGCCATAAATCACTTCAATACAAATTAGGCTACTATGTCCACATGTCTTTCCTGTTTATGGGTAACAAATTAGATGTCTTGTTTACTGTGAGAATGGTTTTCCTCCAAGCAAGAAAAATGAACAAGGAAAAAGACTTCTCTGCCCTAATATGCATGTATCCAGCTAAGCTCACTTTCCAGCTAAATAGGTGTTCAGAATTTCATTTCCCATCACACATCAGCAAACTGGTTGCACTTTCAAAGTGTTGTTGAACTACTTGGTAATACCCGCAGAAGGCTGGTTGTGTACAAA